CCCCAAAACCCCAAAACCCCAAAACCCCAAAACCCCAAAACCCCAAGAGGAGCCATAAATATTGACATTAATTCTTAAGGTAAATACTCTTTAATTTCTTGCTGTATTCTGGGATACTCTCGAGAGCATTCTTTCTAGAAGTCTTCTTAGTAAGAGTATCCTCTAGATTTCTGCTCTTATTCCGAGTATGAGTCTTCTTTCCACTCATCTTACTTTTGATCTCTTTCACCTTGTTTTTCAGAAGAGTTGATGATCTCTGCTTACTTTTGGAGAAAGAGCCACTGCCATAAAGGCTGAGTGAAGATAGAGAAGAATAAGCGCTTTTGATAGAGGTCCTTGTGGACCCTATAGTCTTCTTCTTATTCAGCTTCTGCTTCTTCAGTAATTTGCCATTGCGAAGCAAGCACTGATATACCTTATGGTCGTTGTTTCCCTGGTCGAAGATATTGCATTCTTCCAGTTCGTACTCATTCGATTCTTGAGTGATCAAAATCTCATCGTCGAGATTTTCTAACTCTGTTCTTTTAGCTTCATTTATAGGAATGATTTTGGGTGGGCTCTCTTGTAGCACAGCTTCGAAATCTTGAGCGTTCAGTGCTATCTCTGCATTCTCTCTGTTTTGGATATTTACCAAAGATATGCGAGATTTACAAGCGCCCTTACTGCTGCTCTCTGGTTTTTGAGGAAGATTTTCATCCTCATCTGTGTATAGAGCAAGTTTTTGAACTTCTTCCGATTGGTCAGATAAGTGACTAATTACCTCAAGTTTATCACTGTCTCGAAATTGGGCGTCATGAAAGTGGAGGTTTCCAACAGCCAATAAGTCTTCAAATTCCTCATTCTCTTCGTTTTCTTCAAACTCAGAGGAATTGTCTAGGTTTTCAAGATTATAAGAAGTATCTAAGCCTTTTGCCCCAGTCAATCAATGAGGGTGCAGCTTCATGTTAAAGCCACCATCATACTGCTCGGTTGGCATGTAATCGTTCAAATCATCATAACTGGTTTCCTCTTCTACAAGAGTCGGGATATCTTTTTGCTTGGAAGAAGCAGCAGGAATTTCGAACTTACTGGAGAACCAGTCTATGCTTTTGTCCCTACCCTTATTTACGCACTTTGAGAATCTCTCCATATTGGGTATCTGCAACAGTAGGGAGAGGAGACTTCTTGATAATCCTGTTACTGTGAGTATACATATTCTTAGAGATAGGCTCTTCATCAGTCACTTCTTCATCAATGTCTCCAAATTGGGACAAGTCTGAGATCTCAGTGTCATTCCGACGGTGTTTTGGCTTCATTGGTCTTATGAGGGATCCTAAACCAACAGATTTCAGAAGTTCTTCAGTCTGGGTGAGGTTCGTAGCATACACATCTGTAGTGTTATGCTCATCATTGATGTAAGTCTCTTGTGTAGACAAAGCTGCTTTGGATTGAGTAGCTGAGTCATCTCTTTTGATCCTCCCAAACTTCGAACTTGGATACCCTAAACCAAATTTAGCTCAGTTACTAAGCCCAAGGAAATCTACCTAATTGACATAAAGAGTGCTCATTTAAGGGAAAATAATGAAGAATTTCAGCAAAGTTTGCAAAAATCAATATGTTTACTCAAAAATTCTATGATCCGTCAATATATGATAAACCTAGAACCACTAGTCATGAAATCGCACCAAGACCAAATATGAGAATGTAGGATTAATACTTAAAGCATCAGTTTACCTTTTAGCTTCATTTATAGATTTCAAAATAAATTTTATAGAGTCTTAAAATTAATTTAACTTAACGGAAAACTTTCAATCCAGATCATGATTTTAGGGGTTTTGGGGTTTTGGGGTTTTGGGGTTTTGGGGTTTTGGGGTTTTGGGGTTTTGGGG